GATTTGTGTGGAGCAACAGTGAGATCCAGTGACAAGTTAAATTAGACACAGAGGTGTTTTCTCCAACACTGTCCCAGAAGTTACATGCTGTTGAGGGCCTGGTTTCAGACTAAAAAATCTTTTTGAAGTTAGGTTAAAGTCATAAAAAATTATCCCAGGGATTTGAAGAAGAATTTTGTTATGACTTCAAGAACTAGTTGATTCAGATAGTTTCACACTTTGCAAAACGGCAACCAGTGACAGATGAGGTAATGCTGCTTTGAATTATGTGTTAAATCTCAAAACCATTGAGTTTGCTATGTACAAAATTTCAAATTTAGTAAATTGCATGTTCATGGTCCTTATGTGGGAAAATATTAGATCACTCTTCTTAATTCATATTATATTAAGTCTTATTTTTATAGTTAATATGTATGTTTACTTGTATAGAATTTCTTCATATTTCATGCCTTACTACAGTGGGATATGATAGTAAGAGCTGTTACATTGGTCTTTGTGTTGGAGTCTGTCTGGTTTTATGTGTTCCTGTATCTGCTTCCTAAAGATTGTTTCTCTTGTTCATGCTCAAATCTGTATCTTGCAGATGACTTAGTGTGTATGTAGGAATTTCTGTCTTCTAAGGTTGGATGCGTTAGTTCAGTTATGCTTTTTAGGGTGGCAACTGTGTACTTTATTTAAAGCAAGCTTTGGAATTTCACAAATATATTTAAGCTCTTAAAGATAGAGGTGGAATATGTTTCACTGGTTAATAATTTAGAAAGTGACACAGTAAACTGACATTGGCAAAGATAGTCAAGGTCCTGAAACCAATAGAAATTTTGGATTCTGCAAGGCAGGTATCTTTTTGTTTTAAATGCGTGGTGGGACAGTGAGCCAGTCTTTTAATTGATATAGTACCTAAAACTTGCTTTTAACAGTAAAGAATAATCATTAGTTTGAGCCAAGAGATTGTTTTCCTTGAAGACTGTGTCCTGGAGACATGGTATTTCTGGCTCAAGGCTATTTCTCTGCTGGTGAGTGCATACTTTCAGCATTTGAACATTTATTATCTTTGTAAAATGTAACATATACTATATTATTGCAGTTATCTGTAATGTAGCTGTTACATTTTATCGTTATAGGTTTCCTTATGCATTTTAGATATTTGCACAGGAATTAGATTGAATTCCCTATTGCCCCTCCTCCCATGTTTTGTAGCATAAACTAGGGAAAGAACAGAAGAGATGAGAATATATGTAAGGTTTTTCTTTTTGCTTCATAATAGACATGAATTAGAAGGGAAGATAGGAACGATTGTTTCTTTTTTAAGTTCAGTAATTGCTTCTGTGGGTGAAGGTAACTTACTTTGAATGAAAATAAAAAGATATTTGGTAAAAGATCTTAATGGGAAAAGGTCTCACTTCCTAATTTTAGGTACTGAGAAAGTTTCTTAGCTCTGACTACTCCCTGAAGGATAGCTTCTGGAATATATGTCACAAAATGGTACTTGCTTTGTTGTAGGCATTTAACAAATGTGTTGATTGAAAAAAGTGACCAATCAGTCAAAGAAGAAAGAATGCGATTTGATGGAAATTTAGCAGTGATTATTTTGGCAAAAACAATAGATTTTCATGTTACTGACATAGGTCATTTCTAGAGTTTGTATGGATAATACCAAGGTGCATTATGATGTTTATATCCTTTAAAAAAATATGATAAAGCCAATAGGCTCAATTTCTTTTCTGGCCAAGAAAGGAACTAGTAAAACATCTTGCTGGGTCTGTTAATAGTTTCTTTGTATCTTAAGCACTGATTGAGTGATATTAGCAAAGTTTCTTTTCTCCCTAATTTTTCATTGTGCCTCAAACCAGCTCCCATCATATTTCTATTAGAATCAAAACTGTTTCTGTTATTGTGTGGTCCTACATATCTCTCCTGGATTGTATCACAGGGAAGAAAAATCTTCCCAGTCGTTCCTGCCTGAATTCCCACAGAATATTTTAGGCATGTCAGCTGTTGGGCTCTGAGCAAGGATTTGATCCAGTTGGCACCCTAGCCTGAATTGAAAGTGTGTTTGAAAAGCCTAAGCATCAGTGGCAACATTGTTTCCAGAGTTAGAAGCATTCCTGTGTTTTTACCCCTGTCATGACTTCAAAAGGATTTATGTAACTGGGGAAAAATGATAATAAAGAAGGCGCTCTTATCAGTAACAGCAGGGTGAAGTTTGGTAAAGTGCTAGAAGGGTCATGATGGTATATTTGAGGTAGTGGTAAGTTTTTGAGAAGGTTTGGGTGGGTGTCATTTATTCTCTAGCTCTTTGTATCTTTCAGCTATCTGCTACCCTAGCGATTTTCAACTGGTGTGCTGCAAGAATTTTTACAGCGTGCAATACCTCACTATTGAGTCAGGGACACTGACCACTTCTCCCTTAAATTAAAGAAACGACAACAGCCAACACAGCAATAGCCGTTCAGTGTGAATTAGAAGGGGAGATAGGAACGATTGTTACTACTTTTTTCTCAGATTAGCAAAAAAAAATATATTTTTTGGTGTGCCACAGAATTTTACTAATAAGTTTGTGTGTGCCATGAGATGAAAAAGGTTGAAAATCACTGCGCTACTCTTTTCCTCTTTCCTCCACCATTTACCCAAGACAAAGTAAATATTGATTTTCTAGAAGACCAGGTTATTCTAGGGAAAGAAAGTATAAATATTTTATGTAACATCTCTCTCAGGAGCTAATTTTACAGAGCTAATCGAGTGTACATAGCACACATAAGTGAGTAATTAATGATTTTTATGTTTTTCAAAAAAGCTCTGAATTTTAAGGGCCAATTGACTTTAAGTTATCAATTAAAGTATTTTAAGCTAATGTTTATTTTTATTCATTTAAAATGGATACATTCTAAGATAAGAGGGAATGTTTTCTATTAAAATTTAAAACACTATATATGTTGGTGAAGAGTTAAAAAAAATCAATACCTAAATCAGTGGTTTCCAAACTTTTTTGAGTGTTTCATCACTTAAAATATGTAATATTCATTCTTGTATGTACTTACAAATTATATATTATCCTTATTTATATATAATAGAAAACATATACAAACTAGATACTTTAAAATAATGAAATAAATATAAGTAGAAGATCTAATATCTTCTTTTTTCCCCAGTAGAGTCTTCTGCATTCCCTGGTGCAGTTAGTCTTCTTTGGAGACTATTGTCCTAGATCATTAATGGGTGAGGGTAGCCCAGGCAGAGTTATTTTTAACAAGTTTCCTAGGTGATTTAAAGCATTCTTTCTTCTCACAGTTACTTATGAAATAAAGGCAAAGAAGAGATTTAGCAATAGACCATAAATCATTCAGAAATTTTGGCCACAAAGCTGGGGTTCAGATGGAAAGGCAATACTTATTTTCAGAAATGATTAAAATTTACCCCAAAACACCATCATGGTAATGATCTACCATACTATTATATTTTCAGTTTTCTCTTCATAGTGATCTTTTTGAAATTTGAATTCGATTATTTCATTTCTTCAAAATCTGATAATTTATTCTTGCTTGCAGGATAAAGTCCATGCTCCCGTAGCAAGCAAAATCTTCATGATTTTGACCTCTGTTAACCTTTTTTGCTTCATAGCTTTTATTGCTCCTTCCCTCCACCCCTGTTCCTCTAGAAAACCTAGTTTTGCTAAAATAAACAGAAAAGCACAACCAAAGAAAACTCAGCTTCAGCCTTAATAAATGTTTTATCATTCATTATAAACCTTGTCCTTGCTTGGTTATTCTGCCTGGGTTGCCTTTCTTGCTTTGTTCTGGAAAGCTTCTATTCATTGTTTAAGATTCAGCTCACACATCTCTTCTGATCTCTAAACAATTGATGCTCTGTCCTTCATGAGATTTTATAGCATTTATTGACATGCTATAATTATTTGCTTTGTAAATCCTACTCCTGCTAGGCTGAATTTCTCAAGGGTTGAGATTCTAAGTTAAAACAGAAGTTCTTTGAGGGCAGGTACTCACTCTTTTGTTCACTGCCACATCATAGTTTCTAGCATATAGTAGGCACTCAAGTATTTGTTGAATGAATCTATATTTATGTCTTTAGTATCTGGCATCTGGCAGGCTGAAATGAACCTTTGTCTATTAAATAAATTACAAATGAATGAATTATAAAGCTCAGAAATAAACTTATTTTATGGGGTTATAATTTGAAAAAAAGCTAATTTACTCAAATTTTGACTACATGGCATTGGTAATATCAAAAAACAGTAAGAAAGTCCACATATTTTTATGTAACCTCTCATTTCACTTAAGGTATAAAAAGGACTTGAATAATTTTATTATGACTTACTAGTAGTGACCCAGTGGACCCATGGATTCATGCACATAGAAAGGAAATTAATTAGAAGGTGGCCAGCAGGGTGGGACTGGGCGATATGGGCCAGACACGCCCTGGAGCCAACTTCCCACGGTCCCTTCCTGGCTTCTGTAGAGTGAGTGGGGTCCCTCTGGCAGGTGCGGTCCCTTGGCCTGGCCTGCAAGGATCAGGCCAAATCCATCTCTCAGACAGCCCCCGAGGGGTCCCGGAGTATGAGAGGGCACTCTGCAAAGTTGCTTTCATACAAAGTGTGGAACTCAAATGCAAGTGTGTAGTAAACCAGATTCGGGCTGACAGTGCCCCAGCAACAACATAACCTACGGCTGAAGGTGGAATCGCACGGCCCCACAAGGAATCAGGCTCCCTCCTCTCTGGTTTCGGGGTGTGTCCCCTGAGAACCGCCACTGCCAGGTCACTGCAGCTAGACAGCTACTGTGTTGAGCGTCTGCCCCCTGATGGTCAGTGTGCATCATAGTGACCAGTCGGATGGTTGGACAATTAGCAAACTAGCCTTTTATATAGAGAGATATTGGTACTTAAATGAGAAAATGTAGAAAGATAGCCAAATAATTTTGTTAAACTTAATTTTTTGTTGTTGTTTCAGTATTAATTGAGATATTGTTGTTTATTCCTCTCTTCAGGGTGTTTGTGAACCGAAGTTTAGCCATGGAGAAAATAAAGTGTTTTGGTTTTGATATGGATTATACACTTGCTGGTGAGTAGCACTTTTTGATTGTTTAAGATTGCTTTGGATTATCCACAGTAGGCAATTGAATAAACACTTATTGATTTAATCATATATTTAGCTGCTTCTGTTGAGATTTGTCAGTATTGGAATTATCAGATATCCTTGACATTTAATTTGGTACAGATAGGTAGACCACGTGCTAAGTTATTTTCGAGACCCTGGTAAGAAATGATATGGTGAAATAATACATTTTGTGTATATTTGGGCACTTTTGGCTTTTATTTTATTAAGCTTTTTATATCTCTCGCTCTACCACAAGGTAAATTTTTATCAGTTAAAAATTTTAATGTTATCTTTAAAACAAATGGAAAATGTGTTAATTTTTCATTGAAATGACTGCATACATACTATGTAAAGACTTTTAACAACTAGAGCTATTAGCTTTGTTCAATATCAAATAGACCTTAAACACTAGCACTGAGATATATTTGAAGTAATCAGTGCCTTAGTCAATAGCTGTAACATCTTTTCAGAACTTGCAAAGTTTTCATTAAAATATTTGCAGTCTGATACAAATATTAATGAAAATATGTAATTTAAGAAGTACTAGGGATGAGGGACTAAGTTGAGCAAGTGTGTACAGCTATAACACTCAGAAAAGAGTGTTTAGAAATTTTCTCTAAAATATATTGTTATTGAATACACAAAGCCTTTTAAATTGTATAAATTTACTTCAGGAAAAATTTTTATATAACAGTATTAGAAAACCGACTGGTTTCAAATTTTAAAAATCTCAATTTGATGTTCAATTTAGGCTACAAATATATATAATATTAATGTACAAAAATGAATAGATGCAATTTATAGGTACTTGCCACATAGATGTGGCCATGATATTTACCAAACAAGTTATGTATTAAAAACATACACTGAATTACATGAATTTCTTTCATCCATACCTCTTACTTATGTGGTTTCCTGTTACCTTAAAGTTGTTTTTGCAACATTTTGATTTTCCTAATTGGACACAGGCACTTTTGGGAGCACTTGTCAGAAAGCAGGTGGAAGCACTGTACTTTTTCAGTGTAGATTTTGCTGTCCAAATCAGGAGAAAATCCTACAATCTCTCTTCTTCCTAGAATTAGCTCTTCAGGGGAAGGAATGGCAAGGTAGCTGAAAGATATTATCTAGGCAGAAATAGAAGTTACTGGGGTCAAAAAATGACAAACTTTCCTCCTCTTCGTTATTAAGACATTCTTTTTTATTTTTTTTAAATGTATTTCTTTATTGATTTCAGAGAGGAAGGGAGAGGGAGATAGAGCTAGAAACATCAATGATGAAAGAGAATCATTGATCAGCTGCTTCCTGCATGCCCCCCTACTGGGGATCGAGCCCGCAACCCGGGCATGTACCCTTGGCCAGAATTGAACCTGGGTCCCTTTAGCCCGCAGGCCAACGCTCTATCTACTGAGCCAAACCGGCTAGGGCTGTTAAGATATTCTTATTGAAATAGTTCAGTAAGTATTTATTGAAAACCTGTAATGTGCCCGACATGTTTTGTTACTAAGCATTGAGATACTATATATCACAGAATTATGAAAAATTCTCTTATTTAGTGAAAAAGTCACTGAATCGTAGTCTTTACATTTTAAAAATACTTTGATTTCTTCTTTTTATTTGCTTTTTGTTGTTTTTTGTACCCCTGACTGAGCTACACTGGCCAGGCTGGCAAACAATATTTTGAGTGATACAGAGTTACCATTTACAGCAAGCATGTCAAACTCAAAGGCTAACATGGGCCTAATAAAGAAGGTTTATGTTTATGTGGGCTGTAAAAAAAACAAAAGCTTCAATTTTCATAGAAACAGGTTTATTTCGATAGAGACATGCTGAATACAAAGGGCTGACATAAATGAGTAATCATTAACATAAAATAATAGAACATTTTAATAAAATTTAATATTTTTTCTTGAACATTAACTTACCACTGAATAACTGAACAAATTAATAAGCATAACACAAATAAACCTATTTTTCTTGTTCTCTGAAAGTGAAATATTTTCCGTTGTGCATACCAAGCAAGTCAGTACAAGACTAATGACATTGCAGTCGGTTGCTAAAATATTCACTGCTAGTATTAGTGGAGAGAAATGGTGTGCCTGCGAGTAAGGCACATAAGGGAAATGAATGCAACACAATTATCGTAATCAGTCATTAGCGAACATTATCGTTCGTTATTAATAACTAGAGGCCCGATGCACGAAATTTGTGCAAGAGTAGGCCTTTGCAGCCCTGGCTGTCTTGGCCCTTGCAGCCAGCCCTGGCAGCTTCATCCAGAAGGTCATCTGGACGGTCGTTCTGCTGTTTGGCCTTCCGGTCTAATTAGCATAGTATGTTTTTATTATTACAGAATAGAGGCCCGGTGCACAAAAATTTGTGCACTCGGGGGGGAGGGGTTCCCTCAGCCCGGCCTGTGCCCTCTCGCAGTCTGGGACCCCTCGGGAGATAACGACCTGCTGGCTTAGGCCTGCTCCTGGAGGGCAGAGGGCAGGCCCAATCCCTAGGTGCAGCCCCTGGTCGGGCTCAGAGCGGGGGCCGATTGGGGAGTTGGGGCGCCGCCCCCTCTCATGCACAGAGTAGGGCGGATTGGGAGGTTGCGATGCCACCCTCAGTCACGCACAGAGCAGGGCCCATCAGGGGGTTGAGGAGCTCCCCCCTGTCACTCACAGAGTAGGGCTGATAGGGGAGTTGGGGCACCGCCCCCTGTCACACACAGAGCAGGGCGGATCGGGGTTGGGGCGCCGCCACTGTCACACTCAGGGCAGGGCCGATGGAGAGGTTATGGCTCTACCCCATCACACACAGAGCAGGGCCCGTGGGGTGGGGTTTGGGGCGCCACCCTCTATCACCCACAGAGCAGGGCTGATCAGGGGGCTGGGGCTCCGCCACTCTCACACTCAGGGCAGGGCCGATGGGGAGGTTATGGCTCTACCCCATCACACACAGAACAGGGCCAATCAGGGGGTTGGGGCGCTGCACCCTGTCACACACAGAGCTGCAGTGCGATCAGGGGGTTGGGGAGCTCCCCCCTATCAGGCACAGAGCAGGGCTGATCAGGGGGTGGGGCGCCTTTCCCTGTCACAAACAGAGCAGGGCGGATAGGGAGGTTGTGGCCCTGCCCCCTGTCACACACAGAGCCGCAGGGCGATCAGGGGGTTTGGGCGCTGCCCCCGTCACACTGATCCTGGTGCTGGGAGGCCTCGCAGCTCCGCTGATCCTGGTGCTGGGAGGCATATTACCCTTTTACTATATAGGATAGAGGCCTGGTGCACGGGTGGGTGCCGGCTGGTTTGCCCTGAAGGGTGTCCTGGATCAGGGTGGGGGTCCCCACTGGGGTGCCTGGCCAGTCTGGGTGAGGGGCTGAGGGCTGTTTTCAGGCTGGCGGGTGACTGAAGCTCCCAACTGCTCCTTTTTTTCTTTTTTTTTTTATTCTGGGGCTTTGAGGCTTGGCTCCAGCTCTGAGGCCTCCGCTGCTGAAAGCAGGTTTCTGACCTTTGTTTACCTTCTGTATTTGAAACAATGTTGCGATCCTGCTGGCTGAAGCCCACGGACTAAAGCAGGTTTCTGGGGTTTTGTTTAGCTTCTATATTTGTAACATAGTTGCTTAGAGTTGCAGCTCAGAGGCCGGCAGCGGCAGGCGGGGAACGTTGGAGTCCTCTGTCACTGAAGCAAGCAAGCCTCATGTTAGTTTCAAGCTGCCTGGCTGCCAGCCGTCATCTTGGCTGGCAGTTAATTTGCATATTGCCCTGTTTAGCCAATGGGAAGGGTAGCAGTCGTATGCTAATTACCATGTTTCTCTTTTATTAGATAGGATTATGTATAACAGGATATTGTAAAAACTAAGTTACAAAATTTTTATTAAAACGTTTCTTGCCAAAACCAGTTTGGCTCAGTGGATAGAGCGTCGGCCTGTGGACTGAAGGGTCCCAGGTTCGATTCTGGTCAAGGGCATGTACATGGCTTGCGGGCACATCCCCAGTAGGAGGTGTGCAGGAGGCAGCTGATCGATGTTTCTCTCTCATCGATGTTTCTGACTCTCTATCTCTCTCCCTTCCTCTCTGTAAAAAATCAATAAAATATATTAAATAAATAAATAAATAAAACGTTTCTTACATACTGTTATATTGGCTGGTCCACGAGTTTGACATGCTTGATTTACAGCATAGATGGATTACTAGTTTTCAGAGTTATGATATAGTGACATTGATAGTGAGCCTAGTGTTGATGCATCTGAAGTGTGTGGATAGACATCTCAAATGGCAGGCATGATTTGAATGGTGCATTTATTGAGAGAGGGTGCTTATTGGCTTAGGGCTTATTTTATACTGTAAACTGCCCAATTTTGTTCTGAGAAAACATCTGCATAGGGCTTTTCAAAGATTTCTTTCATTGTTTTCAATGTGTGAAATTATATGACTCTTATGGAAAGTGTGGGAGGTGGGACCTAATTTGGATATTAGCTATTGGATATAAGCTATTTTCATAAGGAAACAGCTCTGTTTTTGTTATTTTAGATAATGGCCACAGAAGACTTTCTTTGGGAGGGTGGTGGTATGATTTGATTTGGTTTTGATTACTCACTTATTTTGAGAATATTGTTCTCCATGTCATGGGGTTGATAGAATTGGCGGTGAGTAATCATTTAAAGCTTTGATTTGTCACTAATAAATAAGAGGGTGAGGCAAGCATACATACTTGTACTTAAAGGGTTTAAAACTGTATATGTAATAATTCTCAACTTGTAATTTTCTGAAAGTAAACTATATAGACCTTTGGTAGAATGAAGTTGGGAGGTTTTATTTTGTTTTGTTAAAAAAAAAATTGATGGGCTTACTTGTATTTTCTTTTTAATTTATGATTTTTAGTTACAGTGTTTAGTAACATAATCTATCCTAATGGGAACCTTATTATTGTCATCTCATCTGAATGCCACTTAATACCATAAACAGTTTTTCAGAGATGATCTC